GTCATTGTGTGATTTGATCAAGGACGCTTGTCGAACAAACGGATTCATTAGTTCAAAAGGTGCATCAAAGGAACAATGTAACTGTGACTTAGATGTTGGATCATACACGATTGAACATGCCATTATTGAATTGAAATCGAAAAACGTGGACCTGTTTCGATCGTTGGTGAGTGGACAATATCGATTCAAAGTGAAATTTCAAGAACATAAACACACAGTGGGATGTGTGATTGGTTACATGACATTAGTAAAAAATAAAAACGCTTTTTGACGAAAGTGCTTAATTCACTTAAGCATCAATAGTATGACATTTATTCAAATTTCTTAATGATAGTATCTTTATCCTAGTATCCTTAATGATAGTATCCATCTGCAACCATACTATCACTATATCAAATTTTATGTTAACCGAATATTGCTTTACGAATTATGCTTAAATAATGGGCGCAAACAGCAGAACGATACTAACGAGTAAGCATCGTTAACACTTATAATTTTCGAAGTCAGCTGAATAATGTCGTACTAATTGTAACAGTAAAATAATATGATAATAGTAGCGAGAAAATCCTTCACAATCTAGTTTTTCAACAATAGAAGAATCTAATCTAGAAAAGTACTAATCAGTCTGTTAATGGTTAAATCAACAATTCGATGATATTTATCGATATGTTAATTTTATATTCGAGTAACAAATATCTGACGATTCTTCTTCAGTTAAAATATTCAAAAACGTGTTCTGCTACTTTTTTTTAAATACGCAGTAGACACAGATGGTACTGATATAGTCTTCGATATAATAAATATATTTATAACTCCATAAGCTACGTGATTATGATAATAGAAACTATTATCATACGATTAATGCATAAAATCACCATTTCACTGGAACAAAAAAATACAGTTGGTTTTGAGTTGCTTGCTGAAAAGTGCTTTTCGTATCCAGCACACTCGATAACCCAGAAGATTTTATATTTTTGATAAGGAGTACTTCGAAAAATTTTTGAAACAAAATGGCCTAAACATATTTCCATGGGAAAATAATATTAGTTTGAAACATTTTCGTAAACTTTTGAAAGGATCTCCAGCCAAAAATAGCAAATCTTCTGGTTTTCGCGTATGCTGGATACGAAAAAGCATTTTTCAGCAACTCCGAACCAACTTTATTATTTTCCCGGTGGCATGTTTTGGCATGAGTTATTGTTAACATATTATTGTAGCGTTTAACAATTTTTTTTTCCTGTACTGCCAATTCCTGAATATAGAGAGTCTCATATCGCATGCTTCAAGACAAAATAACATTAAATTAAATTAAAACTCTTTTTTTATAAATGGTTGTTATTGTTAGCATTGATATATCTCCAGTGATCGGTCTATTATGCTGTCTTTTCAGTTTTTCTTTCTATGAACTGCATAAAAATCTGTAGATTATACAGTAAACATTTTGACAGAAAAAAAATGACTCAAAAATAGAAAACTAAAGATCTTTTCTGCACAATCATTGCTCTAAGTTGGCTAAGTTCATTTGGCTACTTTAGAACTAACCTGTTTATAATTTTTATTTTATTTTCTAAATCGATCGAAAATTAGCACTTTTACTACGTGGAACTAAATAATATATTATGCAGACTGTATGTTCTTTTTCAGATAGGAGCTGATTTATACTGCCATTCACATTACCTATGAGTATCATATATGCACATTTCTGAGATACAACACTATTTTCTACTAAAACATGTAGATTAGGCTTTTACAAGTTTAGACGATTGCATTTTCAGTGGACTCTTCTCATAATGTTCAAATGTTATTGTTTTTTATATTGCTAAACACTGGTTTACTTTTTTCATTCAAAAAATGTTTTTTTATTTTACGTATAAAATTTATCAAAGTAAAAATAATCATCGAAAGACAACAATATATTGCAGATAAACCAAAAAAAAATATTTGTTTACATGGAAAAAGACAATTTGACAAAATTAATAAATGCATTAGAAAAATAAAATACCTAAAGTATCTTATGTATCACTATTTTGAATTTCCGACTTTTGATTTCAATGCCATATTTTCACCTTTAATCTTTTTATATTCATTTAATAATGTTTCTAAATTAGTTGACATATTTTTCTGTGCTTCAACTTCAATCTAAACATACAGCAACACTATAGTTATACAAAAGAGAGACAATTGTCAACAACTATTTACTTGATCTTCTAATTCACGTATTTCACGAATAATTACTCCAATCTCCTCAACAATTTTATAAACAAAATCACAATCACAATGTAACGTTATCAACATTTTGTAAGAACGACGAGCACATTCGTCCACTTTTGCATCCTAAAAGATGCACACAGTTCATCATTTTACGGTAAAAGTTTTAAGGCTCCACCTGTCAACGTTCAACAGATCTTTCTCAATGAATTTAAATGAATCTGTCCATATATGAGGGATACTCGACCACTTCAAGTGACCTAATGTACAAATGTATCATATATGTATATCTACCGTTGTCTAAAATTACCACTTTTTGGAATGACGTAGCTGATGTTTAGGATTTTCAGAAAACTTACGGAAAAACTGTAACAACGCGTTTCGAGGGGTGAAAACTTACTGCTGAACACATTAAAACCAAGAAAGAAGATACTTTAGGCTAACACACCATGTAATGTCTAAAAACCGATATCTTTGACAAAAATCGTCATTTAACAGAGAGGGGAGACTTAAAGCAATCATTTAGATAAAAAACTGCGGATGAGTCGGACTAGGTACTATTCATTCTACAACATTGTTGTGCAATTTAAGTGACCATCTGATACAAAAATGTGGGTAGTTGCATCCATTACAGATCTGAGGTTTTGTGAACATGTAAGTCGTCTGTACAGTGCATTATATTTCTCTGTTTCACTGTTTCTAATTGCACTAACGCAAATAATCCTTCAAGAAAAGAGTATATACACATACTTTGAATAATCTTGTATCCGTAACTTGAAATGTTCGCTCTAGTTTCTCTGTTAAACGATTTAAATCTTTTTGCAATACTCGCGTTTCAATAATGGTCTTATTGATTTCTTCTTTTTGTTTTGTTGTATTTGCGACAATTTCTAGTATTTGTTTTGTAAAAAATTGTCGATTATTATCTTGTTTATTTTTTAATTTTGTTTTTTGTTGTTCATATTCACCATTCAAACGTTGGAATATCTCACCTTTATCTTTAATATCAGTCATAAGTAAACGACCTTTCTGTTTCATGTCATTAATCATTTGAAGTTTCTCATTAGTTTGTGACTAAAACAAAATAAAACATAGAATACAGATTGCGTATAAACCAAGATGCTTACCAAACGATCGCTTAATGACTTATTAATAGTATCTTTTTGCTCAGCTAATGTTTGTCTAATATCATTCCATTGACTCTCGAGTGTCGTTAGTTTCACTTTTAATTTTTCAATCGCATTCTAAGTCAATAAAAACAAGACATAAAAATTAGAAATATTTTAGTTATAAACTTTAGCAAAAAGTATTCTACTGATACATGCTCATACTCTCTTAATCCTGTGCACAAACTATCATTTTGATTACCTGTAGTCGCTCTGTTTCTGGATTAATCGATAATATATACTCTGTAGCTTGTTTCTTTAATACAATTTCTTTACTTAAATTCTCGATATCAGCCTTTGTCGTGATTTTAAATTGTTCATACTAAACACAAAACAACGAAAATGCATTATCATACTCCATTAAAACATATCTTCACACACTAAATGTTTAGCAGTGTTGCACTCATCGATTATGCTTTACCTTGTTTGTATCCTTGAGTAATTTCTTCAGCTGTAATTCAATCTGACTAATTATATCATCATTCTCGCTTATTGCCAACTTCAATGAATCAATTTCTTCCTTATGATCAATAAGCTGAAACAAAAAAAAGAGAAATAAGGTGAATTTAGAGTAAAAGATCAAACTCTAGTTTGATTACCTTTGTTGGTAAAACTACTCCGTTAATGTGATTCGTTCCAGTCTAAACACATTGAGAAATTTTTCTCTACATTTTTAAATTTTTTTTCTAGTGCATTTGCTTACATTTTCTTGTTTTATTTTATCAGCATGCATAAAACGTGATCTTGATACTAAATCGTCATTATTATTATTCAATTTGTTATTCAACAACATATTTCGGTTTTCACTCTCCATATCGTTTTTTTCGATTGTTTGAATTTTCTCGATGATAGCAGCAGATAGTTTATTTGTAAACGATCGTCCGGGAATCTAAGAGCATTCAAAATTCTATGACAGATGTACTATCGTTTTTGCAAAAACATTTTTTACCAAATAATTCGACTCTTTTCGTCTATCAATTTCACATGCAACTTGATTTTCATAAAATAATGAATCGGCTAAATCTTGAAAATTCACTTGTTCAAACACGTATGATTGAGATGATGATAAAAGTTTATCTGAAATATACGAATATAGTTTAGTTGATGAGATCTTTTTTGTTCACTCAACAAGTATGCCTGGTGGCTTTGATTTATTGTATGTTGGAATATGTAATGGAACCGCATTATATTGTTTTGATGGTGTGAAACCCTATAAACACAAATAAAAGACCATAGCGGAATATCTAAAACAGATTTGTTACTCACAAATTTATGTGCGACTGTTGAAGCTGGATGACTAAAAGTAACAGCTGAAAAATCTATCAAATCATGAGGAATCCACGTCTGATTTGTTAATTGTACTGTTAGTTTTGCCGATAATTCTTTCTCTAATAATTCCCATGGATCTACGATAAAATATACGATTATTATTGATAATTTTGAATAAATTTATATTTTCTTACCCAATGTTGTAGAACTAGTCACAACAGTTGATATTTCTCTTGGAACACTTTCGATTAAGAAATTTAATAACCTTCTTGCTTCATTTTCGTTGACACTTAAAAATGTTTGGTAACCAATATCTCCTTTATAGCCAACTGACTAAAGTAAAGAGCATCTGGAAGTTTCAACAATACTATTTATACATATAAAAATCGTGAAAATATACCTGACAGAGCTGTGCTAATTCACCGCATATTTTGAATCTTGTTGAAATATTTGGTGGTAAACGGAGAGGCAAATCAGTTTTATTAGTAATTAACGAGATACATTTTGACACACAACAAAATAACGTGTTTACATCAAATTCAGTTAAACTTTGTACAGTATCATCAATTTGACTAAATTAAAATCAGGAGACATGGAATAGTTTTATGATTACTTTATAGAGTATTGTACATACCAGCCAAGTGCTTGAAGACTTTGGATGAGAATACGGTCGACCTCTTCCATTGAAGGTCATTAAAATTGTTAGACTAGAAATCTACGAAAAGTAAAAGAACAACTAAGCATTCTAATCGCGGTCTACATCGAGACATTATCTTTTGGGCATTCTTTAAGAAACATTAGAACACACATTTGACTAGAGATATCAGTCGTACTTATACTTTGTTCTTTCTACCAACAATTTTCAATAAGACATTTTTTCGAGTCAAATTTTCAAACAGCTACGTTTTATTTAGAAGCGTCAAAGGAGCGTTTCTATGATTGATGGTCTAATTGTGGGCAAAGTGGTTTGAAAAGATGAAAGATGCAGTGAAAACGGTCGAAACCACTTTGCATAAAATTCACATGAGAAACACTGGTTGAAAGAACTAGAACTGGAAAAACATTTTTCTTATACCATACCATTTCATTTCAACAACATAGCTATTTTTAAATGAGAAAAACACATTTATTTGATTATTGTATCTCGACTTTAGCAAAACATGTGATGGACCATGTGAATAAAAGACAAACCAAAATTACTATTTATTTTGCTTTGAAAGTACTTAAGTGTCTTTCTGATCGATAAGAGTCAAACAGAAGCTGTCAGAGTGCGCGTTTTGCACTGAAGTTAGATGCAACATAAACATTATGTTGGCTAGAACCATGAACCATTCTATACTTGAAATAATAGATGTCATACCATAATATATTTTACCTATTACTAAACTGCATGAAAATCTAACGTACATACAAGAAGAGAAGACTTTTTTCTTAAGTTTCTTAAGTTTTCTCTAAACTTACGACTAAAAACCGAATAGATAACGAAATCAGAAATATAACAGTCGTATATGCGACAATGGATTATTTATATTATTTCCAATATCCTCACAGATCTTATAACAGATCGAATTTTATTTATGAAGCTTCGTGGACTATAGAATTGTTAAATTAGCTTATAGAGGAAATGAGGAAAAAAAATTTTGTATCTTATCAAAAGACTTTTCGTCAGTTCTCAAAACTTTTTTTGTTTATCTATTGTAATCCCCTGTACTAAAAATCGTATAAAAACATCGGTAATTCATCATGTACTTAATCGCGATTAATTGTCGATTTTTTTCTAGGTACTAGGTTCGAACCCATCTTAGGAAATACATATTTTTTTCTGTTTTTTCATTGTTTATTATACGGCACCCAGCAACGGTCTTGGCACCAGCTGAGGTCGGAGCCTTCCCGACGAGTCGGTTTTAGACATTGTCCAGATACCAAGTGTTCACTGAACTCCTCGGCCTAAAGCTCTGAGGGACCATAGAGAGGACTCTTGACAATTTTGTTTTGCTCTAAAATAAAAAGATGATCTAAATAGAAGTATATTTTTCGTTGGAATCGTGTTTCTTTTTATATACTTTACTGCAAAATAAAATGTTGAATAACAATAACCATTTAATCGCTAAAAATCAACAATTAATCGCAATTAATTTGCGATTTTTCAAGAATCACGATTAATTGTTAAAAATGCCGCGATTTCGTCGACATGAGATATGCACTACCATCTTCACGTATCACAATATTGAAATTCGAAAGATTTTGGTGAGTCTTCAAAAACTCGAATTCTAGAGATCGATCTCTAAATAAGGTATAAGGCATGATGACCTTAGAATTGTGTTAACTCCACATTGTGCTCAGCTGAAGCAGAAAAAGAAAAATTTTAAAGTTTATTCATCAGAACGATATTTGATATATATCCCATGTTGAGCTTTTTTTTAAAATACTACCGGTTACCGTAGGTATGCCGAGTGGTACGGTTAACCGACGGTAATTTATTAGACCGCGGTACAGAAAAATACCACACGGTAACTGTTTTTATACATTCATCATTTTGTTTTACACTCGTCAGTACATAGAAAAAACACAGAAAAATTTAAAAAGCTTGATTTTTTTCAGATTAAACTTTTCTTTTAGATCATATAGACTCGTCGAAGTTTGAACTTCGACTCGAGACAAATCTTTCTCAATCCAGAGCCTCTCTGCGCTTACAAACGCTCAACAAAAAAGAAGTTGAAAACTAGATTCGAACTCGTTCTACTTTGTTCATTTGTTCGTAATGACAAAATACCGACCAGTACCGCTGGTTATACCCGCGATAAACCGAACGGTGACCGTGATTACAGTGCGGCAATTTCGATTTTGCTACCGGTATCGCGGGCACGGTACTGAACGATGACCGAGCAGTGCTTTTTCGAGTCTGAGGACATGGGATACTATATAGTGTAACCACCATATTTGTGGTATGATGAGTTATAACGTCTTACAAGACCTTGTAAGGCTATATGAAAACAAATTTAACATGATAAACCAATGACTGCTGCAAAATCTTATCAATTCTTACATACTCATCTTGTAAAATTTGATAATCAGATATCACAATATCTAAAAGATCTCATTATAACGTTTTACAGGAAAACATTAGGTCAGTTAAAAGTTTATAGTTAGTTCATTAAGAAAAACTCAGCCTGAATCTCTTCAAAATTTATTATGAAACTGAAATATGAAAAACAAACTTTCGGTAAGGTCTACCTACGATACTGCGTTTACAGACCGTTCTTCAAAATATTCAAGCCATATGCGACTCAAAATTGATGACTATAGAATTAATAAGCATTTAATATGCACCTTTGGAATTCAATGAAACTTAAATGTTAAAATAAACTGTTCTGAACCGTTTAAATGCGATTAGAAATGATGGTATGATATATTTCATCGGTATATGCCAAATGTTAATAGATATTTATTGACTTCGTTACTCTCTATTGTTTTTAATCGAGCATCTCATAAAACAAATACAATAATTATTTTTCTCTTCAGGCATATTGCAATTCTGTTTTTCATATTTGGTTTTATCGAAAAACAACCATGCATGTTCGATCCCAACCAACTATTGCTGAAATCTCTACAAAATCTAAAAATTAATTTAGTTATCTTCTTATTAACACCTAACATTGATATATAGAACTAAGTAAAATTACAGTTTTTGAACATATAATACCAATACGGATTCGTTTTAAATCTAACTTAATTATTTAACCGATTTGATGTATATGGTATTAGTAAGTGTTTGTTATAAGATTAAAATGATCCATGTCTAAACTTAACGACAAATGTAAAAAGCGAAAATGCTGTCCATGTTGTTATGGTTTGAAGGATCAAAAATATCGAGGTATTTGTGCATGGTTGAAATATAAATCAGACAGTCTAATTGCATCCGGTCTTGTCATTATCATACCCTGTCTGGCATTAATATCAATATGTCTTATCCTCATATTTAGTGCACTTTATTTGGTCACTGGTCAAGGTGATTCATACTCGGAGTCATTATGGGAGACATTTATGCGTACATTAGATCCTGGATCGGCTAAAGAGGATAGTGGATGGATACATCGTTTGATATCAGCCACAGTGGCATTATGCGGAATAATTATTACATCAACATTGATCGGTGCACTTACGACGGGCATGGAAGCAAAATTATTTGAACTGAAAAAAGGACGAACAAGAGTAGTAGAACATAATCATACAAGTGAGATGTGGTAGATTCCAGTAGTCATCTCTATAATTTAATCTTTTTTTAGTTATTCTTGGTTGGTCACCAAAAATATTCGATATTCTTCATGAATTAATTCTAGCTAACGAGAATCAACGACATCCACTAGTGGTTATTCTTGCACAAAAAGATCGTATTGAAATGCAAGAAATTATAGCTAGAAAAATTGAAAATCATAAAAACACTCGCATAATCTGTCGTAATGGTGATCCGATGAGTATTCATGATTTAAATATTGTTAGTCCAAATCATGCACGTTCAATCATAATTCTGGCACCACAAAACAATAATCCCGATGTGTCGGTAATTAAAACTATTTTAGCCATTACCAATAATCCAACACGAACAAAAATTAAATTTCATATTGTAGCTGAAATTAAAGAACGAAAGAATCTCGAAGTAGCACTTATTGCTGGTGAGTATGCTAGTATGAGTTGTATTCAATTGATATGAATTTTATAATTGAATTTTTATTTTAGGTGGTGATGAAGTTTGTTTTGTTCATACAGATGAAATTATTGCTCGTATAATTGCCCAATCAGGTCGTCAGTCGGGTTTATCAGTTATTTTATCTATTATTTTAAGTTTTAAATATGATGAGATTTATTTTAAACGTGAACCATCGTTATCTGGTAAAACATTCTATGATGTTGTCTTTTCTTATCCAACGAGTTCTGTTATTGGGATCATGTTCGCCGATGAAACGGTTAAAATATGTCCCGCCAGAAACACTATCCTTCAATCAAATGATCAAATCATTGCCATCGCTGAAGATGATGATGCCCTTATTATGTCACCCACATTTGCTGATCGTATAACCTACAATCCACAGGCGATTACTTCAGCAACAATCGAATCAGCAAAAGTGGAGAAAAACATTGTTCTCGGTTGGAATTCCAAGGCACCACTGATTGCGAAACAATTGGATAATTATGTGGCTGCCGGTAGTGAATTACATTTTCTCACAAATAATGAAAAAGCCACAAAAATCATCACTGAACAATTGGTTAATGAACTAACAAAGCAAAAACTGTATCTTCATTCGGGTGATATTACTAATCGTTCAGATTTGCAAAAATTGAACTTGTATACATATCATGATGTCATTTTACTCGCAAGCGAGATACAAACTCAGACAGAAATCAGTTTACAACAGACAATCATCGAAGCAGCCGATGCTGAATGTTTGATTTGTCTTTTACATTTACGTAATATAATCGATAAGGCTGGCCGAAAAAAAACATTTAATATCGTGACAGAAATGTTCGATATTAGAAATCGTGAACTGGCCGAAATAACACGTGCCGATGATTTTATTGTTAGTCCGAATATTTTGTCCAAATATGTTGCACAATTATCGGAAAATAAAAATTTAACAAAAGTATTCGATGTTCTGCTGACAGCAGAGGGAGAGGAAATTTATTTGAGACCGGTAACAAACTATGTTAAAACAGAAATAGCCGTGACATTTTATACCGTTTTAGAATCGTCAATGAGACAGAATAGTATTGCAATTGGTTACAGACAAATGAAATATGCACTCGATCCAGCGAAATTTTATGGTATCGTGTTAAATCCAATAAAAGAAGATAAAATTACATTTCGACGGGATGATAAAATTATTGTTCTAGCAGAGGAATAATACACATCCGTTTATTCATTTTATTCTATCAAAACGGGAAAAATAATGTTTTAATTGATGAGCCTTGTTTTAATGTTTTGCTTACCATATGTTTCTAAAAATTTTGACACTGTGCTATAAAGCTGATGCTACTCTCTGTATTATCGACAAGTAATTATAGAAATTGAAGTTAAGACCTTATGGGAGTGCCTATGTAATCATTCTACTTCCTCCAAAGCCAGTATATAGTTCAAGTTATATGAAAAGTAAATATTACTAATTGTAAAATCTTTTACTCTTTTCGGACGCGGACTGCGTAAAGAAGGCTTACCTACATCGATATAGGCGCGGGCGTTGAGACCCTTGTTATCTATAGTTCTGTTGATCTACTCATATTGCAGCTGTAAGGTGCCCAAGGGATATTTCTACAACAGATCACTGGAGATTGTAGGCAAGATTTGTAGCAGATTCTGTAACGAATCTGACAAATTGAGAATCGCTTTCTAGCTTTCTACTTGTTTTCTCTCATCTTTTTTAATTGATTGGCCATAAGAAATGTATCAAACCATTTGTCTCATTATAAGCAAAAGATAAAACTTACAGGACAACATTTTTCTGGGTTTGGGAAATTTGCCTGAAATTTTCTCGAATGGAAATCTCCTCGAATTTTCCAAACAGAAATTATCAATATTATATGCAGTGTATAGAACCTCCTTAAATTTTCGGTTATACATGTTTGTACCGGTCTATAAGAGAAAATAAGACTATTTTTAAAAGTCGCTTTGGTACATTGATACAACGCCGAGAAATAAGTAATGATAAGAGATGATCAAAAGGAAAACAGATGACAGAATAGGAAAAAGTATGAAAAGACAACGAAATTTGGACTGAATGGAGAACGGAGTGCGAATTATTAAATGTTTACACTGTTTAGAGAACGGGACTGAAAAGAGAACGGTATTGAAAGATATTTTATCACTGTATGTATACAGTTTCTAAAGTAGAATTTTTCATACGCACGCTTCTTCATATTTACACATCGATACGTAAACAGTAAAAGAACCATATTCTAAACAAAATGATGCGCAGACAATGGCTACCACTGCGAATTTGTAATACGGAAACTGAAGTTAATGAATTAATATCAGAAAATGAAGTATTTAGATTTCGAAGTGAATCAAGTACCAATGGTAACAAATATACATATCGATGTACTTCATACAAGAAATTTCCATCATGTGATATTCAGCTGCAAGCTATACAAAAGAGCAATGAAGACGATCGTATGCCTTTAGGACCATAAAAACGTGGTAGACCAAAAAAATCTAGTCTTGCTCTACTTTTTTGAAATATCATATCTATTTGCATATTTTTGTATAATATTTTTTTACAGGTAATGGCAAGATATATATATATATAATAATTCACTATTCGAACGTATGACCGTTCTCTTTATAGTCTTTTGAACTCAGAATTCTGAACCGTTCTCTTTTCAGCACTAATTCCGTTCTCTTTTCGGTTTTTTCGTTTCATAATTCTGATCGTTCTCTAATCAGTCCAATTTTGACCATAAATAGGTAACCGTACTTTTTTCAACCCTAATTCCGTTTTCTAAAAAATCCTTGTCCGACAGAATAGCTAAAATGATCAACTATTAGAATTAATTAAGACTTAATTAATTAACAGAATTATAAAAATAGAATAAAAAAAGAAATCAACAAAGAAACCGCAATAATCATGTCGAAGGGTGGCACAATAAATTACACAAATCGTTTCAATGTGAACATCCTACATTGTGAACATTTCTAGAAAAATTAAAAACAGAAGCAAGTTCTTTTCAATTGGATTTGGCAGCTGTAAATGCCAGCTAAGAAGCAAAAGTTCAACAGAAACGTTATGCAAATTATAATAAACGTGATGTTATTTTTGTCCCAAGCTCGTCTATCTCGCTGATCGGGCCAGATCGAACGGGATTCGGGGCTGTCCCGCAGGAGTCTACTTAAAGCACCTCTTCTAATATAGAGACACGCAAGAGTTATATACAGATTATTTCTGTTATCTTTTTAATTCATAAAACTAAAAAGCTATTAAGATCGTGACAGAGCAATTTCAGACAAAGCGAGAATGACAATGAAAATTCATGACATAAAACAGCTGGAAAAAAAAGTATTTATTTAATATTTCAAAGTCGTTTATTAATTTTTTCTTTTTCACACTTCATACGACAGAATACATTATATACTACCCGTTCTCTCCACAAAATAAACTTTTAAATTAGAAAAATTACAACCAACAAGTTTGTTTACAAATTTCGGACGTTTTTTGATCAGCTTCAGTTGAGAATGTTTGTTAAAAAGCAGATATTTTTTTCCTTATGGCTGCAGATATTTTAAAATTTTCTCTTTGCGTCGGTTATCATTTCTACTTATAACAGACAGAATAGTGAAAAATAGCACGTTCGTGTTTCAAAAGCTATTTTTGAGTGATGCTTTATTCTAGAGATACTAGAAGCCTAACAAATTAGACGATATCTTTTTATATGTTTTGTGCAGACACTGTATTGTATACATTCGATTTTAACGAACAAACCAGATATAACAACTTAGAGAAGGGAAATATCAAAAGGAGACATATCTTACATCAAACGAAAGGCACGTATGAAAAACGAGATATTTGTTTTGTATAGGTTTCTTATTTTCGTTTAACCTTTTGATATGTGAAAGAATAATGATGTAAAAAAGAAAACTGACATGTTACGGGCTTATTCATTTTTTCTTTGTCTTACTGTTTTCATACATTATATTGTTCACATGTTGTACACAAAAAAAAACCATTCTATATAGTCTATAACATTTCTATCTTTTAACTCGCTGTACAGCATTTCATTCTAGTTTTGGAAGCTTATACGCGATCTTTTTTAACTTTTCAAGATTAAGTAGATTGGGTGACGTTCAGTAAAAAAACTTTCATTAAAACGTTTTTTTTTATGGAAGTACCGGAACTTTTATTAAACATGTTGTCAGTGCAAGTCCCAGCCCATGTACTAAAAATCGGCAATTAATCGTGCGCTTAATCGCGATTTTTTGGTGATTTTAGCAATTAATCGCGATTAATTGACGATTTTTTTCTTGGTAATAACTTCGAACCCCTCTTAGGAAATACATATTTTTTCATCGTTTATTATGTATAATCACATGTACGTCACTCAGCAAGGGTCTTAGCACGAAGGGTCTTAGTAGCTGAAATCGGAGCCTTTCCGACGAGTCGATTTTAGACGTTGGCCGGATACCAGCTGTTCACGGGACTCCTCGTCTTAAAGCTCGGAATCGCTTAAAATCAACAATTAATCGCAATTAAGGTGTTGCGATTAATTGTTAAAAATACTGCGGTTTTGTGGACATGGGAATACTTTTATTAAAATGTCTCCTGCAAAATGGCTGTTACCTAGAGTTTTTGATAGCACAAGAATTTCATTAAAAATTTTAATGAACTTTTTAATGAAACTTTTTTAAATAAAACTCCGATATCCCGATTTAGTATGCGGACTGTCGATAATTATTTGCTATATAAGAGAATTTCTTCGATGAAATTCATTGGATGGAAGTTTTGGATTCAAACAAGGACTAGATGAAATTTAATTTCCTGTTTTCTGTTTCTTTCGGTCCTGCTACAAGTACCGAGAATTGACAAAAAAGCGCCATCTATAGTATAGAATGGTAAATATCTCCGTACTTGTAGCAGGATCGGAAAAACAGGAAATTAAATTTCATCTAGTCGTTGTTTGAATCCAAAACTTTCATCCAATGAATTTCATCGAAGAAATTCTCTTATATAACAAATAATTATCAAAAAGTGAATTTATATTATTAACATCAGTCCAGATACACTATAATTTTAGAGAACGTGAAAATTCAGTAGAAATATATCATTCCCACCATAACTTCGTGACAAGTTTGAACTGTTCTTCTCGCAAATAGTTTTCTACGTCAAAAACGGTCATATTTCTCAGATAAGTCATCAAATTTAAGAACTTTTCCCTTTTAAAGGCTCAGTTTAACATGATGCTTGTGTAAAGATCTCAGAATAAATGCGTGACAGTGAGAAATGCATTGAACGTCGATATCATTGCATGTGAACGTCTTACAAGAGGGTAAAGCTAAAAACTATCTTTAGTTGTTTGTTGCCTCTACTTAGAAAAATCCTTGCTGCGCCAGTTTACCGTTTTGAAGTCAAATTTTAGTCATACCAAAATAGAGAAACACAGGGAAAGTATTTAGAAAAATCTGACACTGACAGAACGGGAGCCAACATATACTGGAATCAGTCTTCGAGATTTTAACGTAGGATGACAGCTCTATAACTCCTGTACACACTATATTATACTACGCTCTTGGCAACAAGGAAGCTGAGCTTGTTTTTCATTCGTTCCATCTTTCCATTCTTTTTGCCTCATTACATTCGTTTTTTCGACAAAGATGAGACATTTGTGATTGACCAATCAGCGTCAGTTCAGTATGTTTAGTTTTCAGTGGAACCTGAAAATGAGACTGTTCAATAGAAATTTTCATATCTGTTTACAGAACAGCGAAAACGAACGCAATTTTTCTATCTATACGTTCTATTTTTCTTTTTTGATTAAAAGAAAAAAATCAGTAGGTAACAAGTGTTTATTTATTATTCACTGGTTATATATACTAATAGCGCTTTTTTTTCTGTAGCTAATGGCTTTCTTTTTATTTACCTTATTCCATCATCTCTCTACTTTGTCTTTCTCACCATCGAACTTTATTCATTTTATTATTATTCTTTGAATGATTTAATAATCTATAAATATATACGAACGAAAAAAATTGTATAACATATTTTGCCTATAGCCACACATTACTAGAAATGCTCATTCTTTTTATAAAGTTTATACCCTACCAACTATATTTGAATGGAATCAAATGATAAAGTAGCAATTCGATTACGTTGTTTTGTAATACTATAGAAACAATCATCTGTAAGTAGTAATAGTAATGTATAAAACAAGAAAGCGGCAGGTTTTCAGTTAGGAATATCAACAACATTTATTAGCTCTCAGAAGGAACTCTGGATACATAGTTGACATAAAAAAATCAGATTTTTAATTCACATAGTAACATAGTAACATCATAGTAACATGACACTAATGATATATTTCTTTTAGAAGTTCTATATATAAAATAAAGAAATAAACAATTATGGCAGGTGTAGAAGCACTAAAAGGCACATGGGATTATGTCGATGGAAAAGATTTTGACAAATATATGTCCGAAATTGGTGTTTCATTTTTAATGCGTCAAACTGCCAAATTAATAACACCAAGAATTATAATTAGTGAAGTTAATGGTAGATGGACTGTAAGAAGTGAAACACATATAAAGAACGTACAATATGATTTTATTCCTGGTGAAGAATTCGATGAAACAACACCAGATGGTCGCGAAGTGAAAGTAAGTATTGTACGAGAGGTTTCTTTTCTCAATTTTTCATATATTTTCTGTTCTCTTTCTAGTCATTGATCAAATTTGAAAATGGTCGTTGGATACATTCAAGTCGTGATAAAAAAGGCAAAGAATCAGTTGTTACTCGTTATGTTGACGAAGCTGGTCTTCATCAAGTTGTAAGCGTATATTACACGTTAAAGCTAAGATTTAAGATTCAGATGTTGTTATCTTATTTTTAGATTTTAACATGTGGTGATGTGAGAGCAACTCGTGTTTACAAAAGAGCTGACACCTAAACGGTCGATTAAAATATCATGAACAATAAACACTACCTCTTGCATCTATGATTTTCATCGTTTTTGTATCTTTTTATGTTTATTAATAAATAAAAAAGGGATTAGTACTCGAGTTTGAATCAACGGCAATCAAGCATCTGACTGTCTGATGCTTGAATCGGACTTTTTACCGGTTAGTAAAATAGTTTTTGTATTTTTTCATATCATTTTCTTAAGTAAATTAGAACTTTTAAGAACCGTTCACAACCATTGGAGTGACTGTGTTGTGAATCTTTCACCCAAAGCCCTAGAACTTGTTTTTGAAAATAGTACTATGTTCAACGATGTCACGACCGTGCAGCAAATTTTTAACCGAAAAAAATTGAGCTATGTAACAAAAGAACGCAAACTGATTAAACTATCATATTTAGCATATTTAGTTAAATTTCATTACTTCAATTTTATGTCAAAATTATTAACTGTGTAAAAATTTCAATCTTAATGTTTTCATCATGAGCGGAAGAGAAGAACCTGTCGATAAAGTCTTCGAGCTGAACTATGATCCATTTCAAACCAGAAGGCAAGCCTCTTCTTTTGAACAACTTTTAAACACAAACAGATAGATCCGCCCAGTTTTTAACACACGATAGCCAACACTTAACAGTTCCGTAACCAAAATAATTTGGAAAACGTCGACTGAGTGTATCTTTCACTTCAACTAAGAGATGATAATTATGGTTAAAATCCATTCAACAAGCACTCGCACAGGACGGGTCACTAACACAATGATGAGTGACAAATTTTTTCAAACATTTTTTTGGAGTCTAGTGAACGGTACTTTTTTTATATGAATTTATACTTTAAAACACGCGCTATCTTTGCCTTCTCGATTAGTCTTTTTTTCTTACTCTGAAAGGTTTCCAGAGTCTTTCCAAAAACCATAGTATCTGCTGTGGATTTTTAAATTGTTTCTTCATCGCACAGTAGAAAAAACAGTGTATATCTTGATAGTCTGAAGTGGTTTGTCTTTGTCTAATTTATGAATTCTGATGGAAATAGCTCTCGAACAAAAGGCGATGCAGGTCTGGTTTGCTAGATCGTGTAAAGAACAGCCTGACGGCTCGAATCCACATATGAACATAAAACACCACCATTACTTCCCTATCCAGCATTGTACACTCAAAAAAGTTGAACGAGGTACATCACCTTTGGGTTATCGCATCAGCTGGATTTGTTTATAATTTGACGTGTCTCGACCTCTACTTTACAACAATCGAAACCATTAGTTTCTACCACCTTCCAGTTCAAATTTATTTCGAAAAGCGCAGAGTACATTCTATTCTGAAACCGACGGTAGATGGATGACCAAATTTTTTGTCCAAAATATCAACGATAGAATTTATCCAGTCAGACTTAGGACATAAATCATTAAATAATAGACTTTTTCTATCAGTTTGCAGATAGTAACATCTTGGTCAGTTATTCCAGGTTGTTACGCAACTGGTCGAGAAGACACTTTCTCATCCCTATTTCAGGTTTCTAAGTACTAAGAAGTTAGCCAAGAGGATTGGATCAAGATAACCGATTTCTGCGAAACTTATGCTAGAACTCGAAGGAAACATCTTCAGCCTTCAAGGATCTCAACGAAAACTATCATACTCTCTTTTTTCGTTAGAATGTTGCCTTCACTGCTACAGAAATCCTTCTGTGCATTTTTAGAACATCGTCTGTACTAAAATCTCATACGTCAGCTAACTAGCATTAACCTGTTATCCATTTTATATTCACAAAAGTATGCCACCATGAACAAATCTGCAATCAAGACGCTTTCTCTTGGCTCTTCCGAATAATAATAAATATTTTTCATTTTCAACGACTTTCTTTTTTTGAGTTGTTGTCCACTTTAGTAAAATAAAACAAGAAAACGAAACCACAAAGAACAAAAAACAATTACAGAAACGTTTGCCTAAACACAACCATGAATCGAGATACAAAGACAGATAGAGAGAGATTACATTACAGATATACACACACATAAAGACAAGCTTCTGTTTCAAAGGTTTCCTTCCATAATGATCTGATTAACTAATAGTTTTTTACACACAGAAGTTTGTTTGTTGTTCTTTTTGTCGATATATATTTTAACCAGATTTAAATAATAATATGGCTACTTGACCCAAATAAAAATAAATAAAATGTTTTGTTTCATGTGTAACATATGAACCAAAATTTCTGCCAACAATACAATGCCACGTTGGATTATATTTTTTATCAAATTCTTTTTTGATATCTAAGTACAAACCACAATTATAGCACGAGCAAAGACTTCAATGAAGAATACTTACATGCTGCTATATCTTTTTCAATGTTATATTTTTCTAATGCTTGCGTTGCAATATCGACAGCATCTTGTTGCATATCCTCCGACATATCGGCATTTTTAATAACGGCTTTTCTGTCAGTCATTTCTAGAATGATCCAGAAGGTAAAATAGATTCTCTTACAGCGAGCTGTTCATTTATTTTAGCTGTGTTTCACTTACTTATTTATTGATGAATGAAAAGTGTATTAAAAGATCGACAAATATGTTTGGAACGTCTAACCACAACTGTGTACAGTTATAAATTGATTGCAGATAGACTATTTATGAATGTTTTCTCACAAACACTTCCAAAGTTTCAACGGTTGCTCGGTAACTGTAGATGTTTGTTCTTGCTATAGAAGGAAAGGAACAACACATTTCTAGATAAGAACTCTGAGACAGACAAACGTCAATTTTAAACAAAGAACCTCTGCAAAACCAACGTATTTAAAATTAAACAAAATCAATAAGTTAAACTGTACAGAAATTAAGTATATAAAGAGCAAATTAATACAGTTAGAAAAAGGATATAACATATCTATGCATTATGTCTTTTAATATCATCGCCGAGTAACAGCTGAGAAAGTGACCAAAAAATGGTAAACGTGGATTACTAAATAAAATCGCTAAAAATGATAATAAGAGTTAATGGTCTAACCTAAGAGTGCGAAGTTCTTTTTTTCTGACAGACATGCCATAACATGAGGTAAAGCTTGCTAATGACTTTAAAGGGAATAAACAATAATGCCGAAATCATACTATTGTGACTGAAAAATTGTGAAACAATATCAAAGTTTAAGCGCTTCCGGTTCAGCTAAAAACCAAGAAAAAGATGACTGGTCATGAAAAAGAAGTGGTAACAGATGGAGTTCTTCACATGTGAATAGTTTTGCGGATGGATGGTCATGTGTGAAAGAAAAATTCTTGAAACAGCTTTAGAAAAGCGATGTCGTATAGTAGATTATGCACGAAATACCTGGATTTTTTGTCACGGTTGATCACATCCTAGATCATTACATGCAAATTATCGTGGCATGACTTCGAAAGTGAAAAAACGTTGACCTTAGTCGAGACTTCCGACAAAATTCTCACGGGACCTGCGGGAGTGGGGGGGGGGGGGGGAGGGGGGGGGCGGGGGGGGCGCGGCGGGGGGGCCCCCCCCCCCCGGGGGCCCCCGGCCCGGCGGGGGGGCGGGGGGGGGGGGGGGGCCGGGGGGGGGGGGGTTGGGGGGGNGTCAGGTGGGACTTTCAAGGGACTCCTGAGGGCTCCCTTGAAAGTCCCACCTGACTCCCGCGGGACCCCGTGACAGGAGTCTCGACTGGGGACGTGCCGTCACAGGTTGAGCTTTTCTAAGGCGATTGTAGCGGTATTGAGTAAGCTCATTTTACCAAGTCTTATTGGTAACAAATTCGTACGTATTAAATATTGTTATTCTTGATAACATTTCAGAGAACTTATTTTAAACAGAGTTTATAAGTCATAAACATTCGCTAATAAATGAACACATATCTGGATAGATATAGATGTCTCATGTTCTTATCATAGGGTAAAAACATATCCAAACGTTTTTCACATTTGGTCATGTAATTGGTATGCCATTTTACATCTAGCTTACTTGAGAATTAATTCCTCATGTATTTACAGATCTTATCCTGTCTGTATTTTCCAAGTTAAATCCGCTACTAGAACCATTTGTAAAAATTTTCATTGCACGAAGATAAATCTAAGGCCATTTAATCAACTATTTTAATTATGTAATGTGCGTCTCTTCATTTTATCCTGATGAAAGTATATACAATTATTTCGGTCTATGTTGTTTAAATACATAATGGCCAATTTATCATGACGATTTTGGTTGCCACTATTAAAATATAATTATTATTGTAATTTACGGTCTTAATAAACAATAACAGATGTATGAAAAGTTTTCTCCAAACAAAATTAGTTGTATTTCGTGATTTTTATATGAATCAATTAACTTTCTTTATGATAGTACGAGAGACATGTAGTACTTGTACGTTTTTAGTTTATTTAAGTCCAATTCTTCATTAACATTCTAGTAAATTCAGTTGGTATAATTGTGATAACATAGTCTATATTTCTCTTTTTTTAGATGGAAACTGTATCCCCAAAATTGAGTCAAGATGATAATAAAAGTTACTCGGCCGAATCCGTTTATCGATCATTACAAAGTCAAATGTCAAATGTTGACTATACGCCATGGATGAGGAAAAAACCAAAACATGATAAATCTAAGCCATCTTCTGCCATCGATGATGATTCTGATTACCAACCTTTGCCAGGTTGGTGTATCATGTTATTGTTTTGATGCTACTATAATCCATATTCCGGGCTATTTTAGTTATCAGAGAACATAAATGTTCATCCTGTTGTGTACATAAACGATCTGAAACAAAAAAAGTAGTTAAAACAGTAGAAAACGTCAAGAAAATTGAATGGATACAAGCACAAATTCAAAGTATATAAATTGAAATATCTTTCCTCTCACAGATTTGTTTGAGTATGGTGTTGCACTCAGACTTTAGAAGATAAAACAGTCAGCATTTTCAATTCTATTAAGAGACCAAAATAAATTTATCTAGTTAACACGATCGCATTTTCAGAACACTTTTACACTGACCGTTTTTCTTCTATAAGTTTCTGATCTAACGTACATATTTTACGATAATATGTCGTCTTAATAATAAAATTTAAAATTCTCTAGTTGAATATTAAAAAAATTTCACTTTTGTTTTTTTTGCTAAATATCTGCATGATTGCACAGTCTATAATGCACACTTGTCTTGTACAAGAAGAGATCGATTTTTTGTGAAATTCATCTCCTTGTGGTCTGAGTTGTACACTTTCAGAAGCTACGTAACTTTCTACCCTAAAAGTGTTTATTGATGATTCTTATGATGTTTCTCAGTAGTCTTGAAACACAGACAGCGTTGCTTGAAAAGCAACTTTCTTGAGCTAATATGCGATCAAATTTTTATTAAGCATCTGGTTGAAAAAACTGTAGTACAATGTCATCTTCTTGCGAAAAATTTGACTTACCGACTAAAAAGTTTTGAATCCTTTTATTTATTTTATTAACGTTTTTATTGTTTGAAGCCCTGATAAAGCTGTATATATTAGTCATGGCAGTTCCAGGGTTTAGTTTTGTTATAAAAAAATTTCACAAATACATGAATGTTATTTAGAGCCTTACGTCGAGTATTAATTTGAAATGCATGTCAAATTTTAAAACATTTATCACAACCTACTCAAGTGATACCTTGGACGATGAATTACGTTCGCCGAGACCATAGATCACTAATTGATCATCTCAAGCACGTTGTTTTGTGAATTTCGTTAACAAAATGTATACAACTAACAACACTATATGCTCGTAGACCTTGATTAGAGCTGCGCTTATAAATGAATTGAGATATTGAACATTTTCTTTTTTCTCTTGTTGATTCACTGGCGGATCTAGAATTTTTCTTTACTACGTCCGGCACACCATAAAAGTATGAGGTGTGTACAATCACTTATAGAATATATTATAGAGATAATCTTGCTGAGAAAAAAATAGCTTTTTTGCTGGAAAAGTGACTGGATCCACCATTGTGTTGATTCTATTATTTCTATTCGCTTTTTCGATCACAGTATGATCCATGTTTCGAATGGCATCACTAGTTCTATCAGTAATGATTGATTATCGCTACTCTAGCTAATTTTTTCATGATATAGAAAAGCATAGATTTTAATAATAATAATCTCCTTTATTTTTATTCAAGTGTATCAGACCAGATGTGAATCGTTCTACAAACATGAACAAGATTTGATTCAGGATAATTTATTAATGAGAAAATTGATATATGAAAATGAAAAAGAGGGACATGATACTGTTGCTGGAACAATACGAAGATTTGATCAATATCAAGTAATTGTTTGAGTGAAATTATGTCTATTTCATTAAATTCAAATTCGCATCAATTTTCTTTCCTAGAAAACATTGAAAGTTGTTGAGACAAAACAAAATGAAGAGAAAACAGAGTTGCTGAAGTTGGTTGAAGACGAAAAACAAAAACTTTTTATGGAACTAGAAAGTGGGTAATAAGCAACTTTTCTTAGTACAAAAAAATATTCATATAAGTATTTTGTTTTTAGTGTATGAAAATGAGGTGTTAAAAGTCGATACTATACTTCAAGATTGTCAACAGTTATTGAAGCTTTTAAAAACATTTAAAGTAGATGATTCGTTCTTCTTGTTCATTGCACTATCTCTATTTTCCATTAGGATAGTGAATATCCAGAAAAAGAATTGGCAGTTCAAAAATTAATACATGAAATAGAAGATGTTAAATTATTTAATACGGTAGGATTCATATGAAATCTTTATGCATTTTTGAAAATAATTAAAAGTATTTTTTGCGTATCTATGACTAGTGAAAGTCATTCTAGTTTAAAATCATATCATATTTTTTTAGGAGGAAATAGATGAACTTCAACGTATATTAGAACGACAACACATGAAGTACATAGAAAGTGTACAAGAAGCAGAAAAGAAGTTAAAACAACGAAAAGCATCGGTATACGCATATACTTAATCATATTATAATTGTTTTGGTACAAATTTTGATTATTTTTTTCTATAGGTTGCATTTTCTGAAATGCATAGTTCATGGAGAAAAGTGGCACTTGATAATTTTCTAATGAAACAGGTAGTCATATTACCACTATCACCATCATTGTTAGTTAAGTAGAAGAGATAAAAAATAATTTGTACTCTTTTTTTTTTTATTTTAATATTAAGCAAATTAAAATGCAAAAACAAAAAAATTTAGATTTAGAAAATGAACAAGAATTTTTAAGAAAATTAAATCAAAAATTAAAATTGGATGAACGTCAAGATTATCGAAAACAATTATTTCCACATGTTTTCAAACCAACAATACCAATGTAAGAGTATCATTGTAATTGAATTGAATTTTATTCATTTTTCTTTTAGCTGTACGCCAGATATGGATATTATACTCGATCTTCCAAAACGCGAACCTTGTCCTGTCTGATATTTTATAGAGTTTATTTGCCGGTGAATATATATATATGTTCTTACGTACTGTCATAGTATGCAATTATTTTGCTTATTTATTTATTTTTTACTACTGTTTTATGTTATTTTTAGTTTTCAAAATAATTTTACTTCTGTTAAATACTCTTTAACTTGTTGTTCTATAATAAAATATATGGGTACGTAGCATGTTTACAGCTATTGAACTGTTCGATGATAAGTTAGTGAAATTATTTCGAAATTAGATTAAGAAGTTTTTAATTTCAAGTAAACTTCATGTTCTTAGCTTCAATCTCTTTGAATCTATCTAACTTGTCCTCTCTCTCTCTCTCTCTCTCATCTTGTCATGTATACAAATAAAGTTTAACGTTGTTTCATATGGTTATTTTTTATTAAAAAACCAAACTATTAAAAAACCTTGTACTACAAAAAAACAATGCGCTATTTCACTGTGCGAAACATAATACAAAAATCAAAGCTAGACTGGAAGCGCTTGATCATCTAAAATATAAAAAAAAAATGATTTCATCTTTTGCTTAACATTAGTTATGTATAGTTTTCTTTACCAAGCTCGTTTGTACCAGCGAGTTGCTTTCGCTTTACCACATGTACAAACCTTTAAATAGAGAAAAACAGAAACGGGCATAAATATAATACTATATTTTAACATATCTTTATATTTTAAAAAAACTTACAACTTGTTGTCGATCACTTTCATCAACATAACGTTCAACTGTTGATTCTTTTCCATTTTTATCGCGACTTGTATGAACCCAATGACCATCATCAGTAAAACGAATTGTTGACTGAAAAAACAAAATTGATTTGTGTAAATAAATTTTACACAAGATTAATGAAAGATACATACTTTTGTTTCTTCACCATCAAGTCTTGTTTCAGAAAATTCTACATTTGGTTCAAATTCATACGATTGTGTTTTAAACGTTGATTCAGATTTAAATACCCATTTACCATTATCTTCTTGAGATATAATAATTGTTGGTTTAACAGCTTTAGCTGAGACACGTAATGCTAAACCAATACCTAAACAAAGGCGAAGAAAAAGTCATATTTTATAAGTATAGAAAATGATATAACATCCATACGGACTTACCAAGTTCGCTTAAAAAATCATCAAACTTTTCACCATCTTCATATTTCCATGTTCCTTTGAGTTTTTGAATGTCTGGCATGATGTTTCCACAAGAAAAAATAACAGTCTAAAATAAATTAAAAATATGTGAACTTGTATTTAAAGATATAAGTTCAAACTCTATCGGGTTGATAACGAGACTTTTAGAATCATAAACGAGAAAACTTCTTTTTTTTATTCTAAAAATAAGAAAGGTTTTTTCAGTATAATAAACTGTTTGCTCCAAACAAAGATTTCGGTAAAAAACACTTGTGTTTTTTCTTTATTATTTCACTTTGTCTCACTATCATGTTTCATGCAAATAATGGTACTCACTGTTTGACGTTACGATTAGCTGTGAAGATGGGTTTGATTTGAATGCGCGTGTATTGCGTTTTGAAAAAACGCGTACTTATATACTATGTGTACAAAAATGCAAAGAGAGAGAGAGAAAGAGAAAGAGAAAAGAGAAAAAAAGATATTGAATTTTTTGGTCCATTTTTGTTTGCGTGATGATACAGAAAAGCTTGTAAAAAAAGATAAACAGTTTGTTTAACTCGCATACCATATGCAAATTATGAAGTATCCTTTCATTTAAGAAAACAGAAGTCTTACCCACTCACTACCACGTGCAACTATGCCTGGATTTTGAAAAAAGATTATTTTTGCCTTCTTTTTATTATTTAAAATATTTCTATTGAATTGATATCTTCTTCATTTGGCATAGATTCTAGAACATACCTTTTTAAAATGTGGGTCGGATGAGATATATTTTCAGAAAAATTACGCGTGCCGCGCATAATAATCGGGTAATTCATGTTTTAAGAATATTATTTTAATAAGAGCTCCTGTTACTCAAAAATATCGATCACAGAATCTTAACAACGACATGAGAATAATAGTGTGCTTATTTTAGATAAAAAGAAACAGCTGTTACTATTAATATTGCTTTTTTCAATCTTTTCAAGATTGCTCCTTTCAAGATTATACAGAACGCGAAGGACAATGGATCGATAAAACACATCTTAGTAAAAATCTTGAACACTTCTTAAAATTATCTTACTAAAATCGTGTATGATCATCATACATTTTCAGATCTTGTCTAGAATTTAAATAAGATATGATGCTTTAGTTTTTTATTCATCCTTCTGTTTTGCTCTCATGCATCTATATAAATAGCATCGAAAATATATAATTGAATTTTTACAGTGTCATTTTTCTTCACAACGTTGCTCGTACTTGCTTGAACAAGGTATTCAAAATACTTAGTCAACCATTAATAAATCGTACTAAAAAAGAATAATTCTTAGTAAGATCTTACTATCACCGTAGAAAAATCTGATTAAATCTTAGAATTTTTGGGTCGCCCGATCTTAGTAAGATTTCTTGAAGGTCGTAGCGGAATGTAAGCAAAATCTTACTAATCTTAATACGATTCGAGTAAGGTTCTCAACACGGCTATCGTGGCGACTAACTATCAGCTCTGGAGGAAAACGTTTCATTTTCTGCTAAGTTTTCAGTAATAAGCATGACTTTAAGCCCGTTGCTGAGAGAAAAGTCTGGCTTTAACCAATTTTTATGACTTTTTATTTTATTTAGCGTTTTTTAAAGACAGGTCAAGTCAAAAATCATCAAACTTTATAAAAGAAACATAATTAAAACCAAAGTAATAAATATATATAATATTAACAAAAGCTTAATAGGGAAAAGCGTCAAAATTAGATATCACAAAATTAAATTTCACATCTATAATTTTGAAACACAGCATTATGCCGTTTTTGTAATCAACATTGCTTACTTCCGCCTGTAATATTACTTAAATTTATTATAATTTACTTAAAAGAATGAAAGTTCTTTGAGAGAAGGATCATACAAAAAAACCAAGTATGTTGCAGACATTTATTTTAGAAGAGCGTAAACATCAGTTCTTACCACTAAGTCAAGAAAGAAAGCTGACAACACGCAAAATCTGAGAACATTAATAATTTTCTTGTAACAGTAATTAGTATTTCCCATATCGTCATACAAGACTAGGTATCTAACAAGCGGATGGATCTTAATTTCAGAGGAAGATGATAAAGACCTAGAGTACTCATAATTATTGCCTTCTTCGTGTCCACAAAGAATGTATATTGTGCAGGCGTGCTTTGTTTTTATCCGTTTTTTATTTTTGTTTTATATGTTTACTTTTCACTTATAACTAAGTGTCATAAGTCAAAACACCTGAAAAAGTATATACCCACTTGTGATATATCACGCTTAAAAATACCTTGTCACAAAAACATATGAAAATTAGTCGGTCAGTATAACTTATTCAGATAATTCGAGAGAAATAAGAGAAAGGAGTTGAAAGGAAATTTCAGCTGAAGTAGATATTCATCTAAAGAGATCATAGCGTCCATAGAGCAACATCAAACACGATATATCAGTAGCTGAGGCACGTGATATGTCTGTATGAGGACGAATTTACATTGTTAAATTGTTCGGTGTATCGATTTTCAACATAAATAACGTTTTAGTTAGCATTGAAATAGATTACAGCTGCCAAAAATTTTATTTTGAACAGAAGTATTAAGTATACAGAAAATAAAAAATTTTTGAAATGATTCCAGTTTATTAAAAAAAAAGATAAAAGGCGACAAGTAATTATTGTACTGAGCAAAACGATTCGTTTCACTCGATATTTTCTATTTGAAAAAGTAATAATAAATCGAGTTTAAACGTCTGTTGGCTGTCATCGCTATTTTTCATTCAAACATTAAGTACAGAATATAATTCCATGATAAACTCAATTCCATACGTGCATAATAAATAACATGCATATTCAGAGTATAATCAGCCGAGATTTTTAATGCGGTGCGAAGCATACCGCATTATAGTAATAAACTGCGTGTTTACTTTCTAAGCTACAAAACTGTCATTTTCTGTAACGATTTTCTCGTAAACTAGAAGGACTAACATAAAAGTTTAAACGAGAACAGTGAGCTGTTAGGCCGAATTAGTAAATGTCCTCTTTTGAGACTTTGTGACTAATTCAGTCATTAACCAGAAGGCTTGAAAAAAGGTGTTTTGAACGTTTGGGACTTATAGTTTTTCAAAAAAAACGGATAATTAATCTGAGTCATACTAGCGCTTTTAAAGCAGAGTGTTTGCATATCGTGTGATTCACTTTATGACTATGCTCAACGAATAATTAACGTAATGATTCGCTACTAGACGCTTTACTGTGTTATAGATAATAACGCAGTGTGTACGATGATGCCAAAATTCAACTTGTTTCTTTTATTTACAGAGTGATACTTGAGTGTCTCAACAAACATTTTGAAGTTTAATGAATCAGTAGCAGAAAAAGACAATTACTCGTTCACGTGACTAATCTACACTTTATTCAGTTCTTTCCTGCGAACAATACTGTACATAATTTGACAAAAAAACTGAGTTCTCTGTTGCCGTATCCTTCATTTTCTTGTTCCTGCGTCGCACCGCATTCGCAACTCTCGCTAGCGTGATTGCCGTCTAGTTGAATATAATATTGAATTGATGAATGTCCATCTATAAAACTCTATCATTAATAATTTACGATTTTTTCTAGGGTATTTATTTTTATCTCGGGTTACTGGATGTGACTTGCATGTGATGGATACAATGTGATTTGCATAGCGTTTGAAAAAAAAATTTCAGACAAGAAGTTACGCAAAAAAAAGATCCGAGACATACATTCGATAGAGCGATGTCGATCGTCTATGAAAACATTACTTTTCCGACACTTGCTTATATAGCTAATGAAAACAAAATTTTCAGCAAGAAAGTTTTAGGATAAGTCACCGCAGTTAAAGTTGAAGTGGTCCAGAACAATTGTACACAGATGAGAAAAAAATTCTGTTGTATACCAGTCGATAGAACTTTCTATAACTTCTGACTGGTTCTTCATGATAAAAATTTAGAAAGACTTGTATCCAATTTACGAAGGATCTCGAGATTTGTTAGACCTTAATTAATATATGTTCTTATAAAACTAAGTTGGCAGTTCGATGTTCTGTCCAAAAACAAATACACTTATATATATTCCGCTGAGATTTGATAAAGTCTTGATAGAGTTACGGTCATTTCAATGTCAGTGGGCATAGTTTTCATATCTGGAAATTTTGTTGAAGATCGACCTCAGTTTTACGAAGAGAGCGTACCATATTTTCCACCTTAATTAATAAGTACCGCTCGCTAGCTTGTTGACTCTCCAGCGGACGCCCGGGTCGGTAAAGTTGTACTATATACTCATCCGTAGAAGTTTTACAGAAGAAAACCTGTAGAAAACTCGAAAACGCTATAAATACCAAAGGAAGCGTGCTAGACGGTTGAAATTTTGGATAATTAGATCACTTGTATAGCATTACAGTAGGTAAAATTTTGAAGTATATAGTATTTTATTTGGCAGAGTTTTCCATTTTTCGATTTTATGCAATTTTAGCAGAAAAATGAGGAAGATCTCCATAATTATTGAAGGAATAGCCGTGGGAAAAAATCCAGTTAGGTTTTTTGCCAACTGGATGCACTGATTCGATCGATGTATGGACGGAGATAAAAGAATGCGTACACTTGAGAAAGTTTCCTCCTTAGCTTTATAACATATCAAAATCTGCTAACAAGTTAACAATACAGACAGAAATCTTACATCTTTTTCTCAAAGGCGGAGACAAACGATTGCCTTCGGACCCAATAACACCGATGGAT